TCTATGCCAAAGCGCAGGGTTCAGCAGTGCGCAGGGCCGCAGGGCCGCCGGAATCCAGGCCATGTCGGACGGCGCCGCTGGCGGCATCATCTGGGTGGTGGAGGCGCGCCAGCTGGTGGCGAATTTCTTCGGGTCGCAGGGGCAGGGCGTCGCTGTGCAACAGTAGACAATTGGTCAGGCACCATCACAGTGCGATGGGGAGGCCGCCGCCGGCAGCTCAGCCGCAAAGGGAAGCAGCATCATAACGGCAGCCCAATTTGATGGTTGACGAAATGAGGCGTGGTGGCAAGGAGAATATCGCAGCCGGCGCGGCTGCGCTCCTGGCGACAGCGGCGGCAGCAATGAGTGCGACTATTGGTGTACCTGCCGATGACCGACAGCATGCGGCGCCGGCAGAGGACGCGCATGCGCGGACCCGTAAGGAATGGCGGGCACCGCTGGAAACCCAGATGAAGGACGCGGCGAGGAGGCCCAAGACTCGGCGGCCCGACGCGCAGGATCAGGAACACATTCTGAAGCAACTGCCGGCCAAACTGCAGCGCGCAGCGGCGGCGGGCCGGCGGGGCAGCCGGTAGGGCCCATCCATCCGCGTGCTGCTACACTAGGCCTGCTTGGTGGCATCGGGCGCCAATCTCCAGAGACCTCTACGCGTATGGGACTCTGCAAGCTGCTGGTAGCGGAAAGCGGGCGCGGCCGCTGGGCGGCGCGCGGTCGGGCGGCGAATGAAGCTGCCAGCCGTTGGCGAGGACGCCGCGGCGCGCGCGGGGGCACGGGGTCTAATAATGTTTGAGGTCGAGCGCGTGCTGCGCCCGAAAGCCTTGGAGAGTGCGCGGAGAGGTGGGTCGAGGGGCGCGGCGCGCGACCCCCCGCGCCCCCAAATGGTCTCAAGAGTGGCCTTCCCTCCTCCCTCCTACTTCTCCCCCTCCGCCTCCTCCTCCTCGTCCTCCTCCTCCTTGCCACTCTCTCTATCTCTCTCTCGCTGTCTCTTTCTCGCGCCCCCTGGCAGCGGTGGCGCCCGCTGCTTGGGCAGCGGGGGGGCGCCTTTCCCGACTCGAGGGCAACGGGCCCCATGGAGACTGCTGTGGCCCTCCATGACGCGAGGGCATGCAGGCCCTGAGCAGAATCCCCTCCCGAGGCTGTATGGTCAGACGCGTCGTCGGCCCAGCACGGCATGGCAGTGTTTTCCGCTGCAGAAGTGCAGGCCCGACACGGCACGGCAGCTCCTTCGTATCTTGACAGCCCGGCGCTGCATGAAGCGGGTCTTGGAGGCTTCCGGGAGGCCGTCAAAGAAACCGGCTCTCGCGATGGAGATCCGCGTCACCCCAACCTACGAATACTGTGTGTGCGTCGCCCCCCCCCAGGGGCGACGCGCGCACCGAGAAATCTTATAGTATATGTGTCGTGGCGGGCGCTTTTTGGCCAGACTGCTCGAGAAACGAAATGTTACAAGATGAGTATACTAGATGTTCGGGTCGGACGCGCGCCTCCAAGGACATGTTGTATGAGTGTGCCTCTGTGCGCCCCAGGAGAGCCAGTCCCAGGAGGTGCCGGCCCTGTGAAGTCCAGGGCCAGTGTCCCTCAGGTTGCCCTTGCTTCCTCCGTGATAGCACCCCCTGAGAGCGCGATCCCCCCACTGCGCCTTCAATCACCGAGCGCGTTCCGGTAGTCATAGAGCGCCTACTCGCAAACGTCCAGAACAAAACATGTCTTCCTCGATGTAGTATATTGTAAATCCCAGGAGACGGATCCAGGCCATTTGCGAGTACAGTAGTTACTTTGCGAGTAGTGGAGCGCGCTTGATTTTTTTCAAGTCCGGGAACACATGATGGCATAATAATGAATTGTCGGAGGTCCGCGCCGATTTCTCGGATCGGCGCTGGAGTCCCTCGGCGCCGCCCCTGGCGCGCTCCGCGCGCCAGGGAGGGTGGTGCAGCGCCGACCCAAGAAATCAGCGCGGCCCTCCGACAGGTTCTGCTCATGCCATGATCTGCTGCTCGAGTTCCGGCCGCTCGCGCCCCTCAGGGCACCCGCTCGGGCTCTCCGCGCGGCAGGTCCCCCCACCAGAGCGCAACCCCCCCCTCGGCACTCGCAGGCCTGGCCCAGGCCTGGCCCATCATGGGCACGGGGGCGGTCTATGTTTAAGTCGGGCCTGTCCCCCTACAGGGGGATTTTCGACGAAAAAATTAAAAAATACACCCAAAACATCAAAAAAATAGTCCAAACATAGTCTGGGGACTATTTTTTGAGTTTTGCTTGACCTTTTTGGGGGAGTTGTCATTTTTCATCGAAAATCCCCCTGTAGGGGGACACGCCCGACATAAGTCTATGTGCCTATGCCAGTGGTGTGTGCAGTCGACCCAGATCAGTAGGTCGACCCTGCCAAATCAAGTGCACCCTGGTGTCCTGTGTCTCGCGGCCCATGCCTCCGACATCCCTGTATCAATGTGGCCCTCGAAAGGGTCTTGTGCCCTCTCGCGTGTCCTGTCCAATCAAGCCCGACTGTATACACCGCTCCTGTGCCACGGGCGCTTTCATCACTCCTCCGGAGTCATTATCCGACAAACGGAGACAAACAAAAACGGCCCCCCAGGAGGCCGCACAGCGAAACGTCCCGGCCCCGACTCTGTCCAGCAGGGCCGGGCGCCTGGAGCCCGGCACGCACCGAAGCGACCTTTTTTGCCGGCGCTCTCAGCAGCAGCAGCCGCAGCACTGATGTGAGCCCTGACCCAGCTGAAGCGGAGTTACTAGGGGAACAAAAGTGACATAGACATAACAACTCGGAGGTCCGCGCGGATTTCTCGGATCGGCGCTGGGGCCCCCCGGCGGCGCCTCCGGCGCCGCCCCTGGCGCGCTCCGCGCGCCAGGGAGGGGGGTCCAGCGCCGATCCGAGAAATCCGCGCGGACCTCCGAGTTTTTATGTTTATTCAGGAGAAGGAAAAACACACAGATACAATTAATCCTCGATTCCTCAGAAAATATAGGAAAATATGGGAAGTGGGGGGGAAGACAGAACCCCAGAAAATATGGGAAAATACGGGGAATCTGTTTATTTGTGTGTATTTATTTGTGTATCGTGGGGCACCTTCATTTATGTCACTTTTTGTTCCTCTGGTTACGGCCCCATGTCTTCAACGTGGAACCGGGCTTCCTCCCACAGCTCTGCGTGCTTGGACGCATGCGAGAGACGCCATCTCTTGCCCCTCTCCAGGTTCTGGATGATGTTGGGGCAATCCGTGACTGCATGGATGTCCCCGTAGTCTTTCTCGCGCAGGACAACTTTTGGGCAGTAGTACAAACAGTTCGTCGACCTAAAGGTCCAGTCCGAGGTCGGAAAAAGGGGCTCGTCTCGTATGTTTGCGTGCGTCCCGCTGCTTTGAGGTGGCCAGCCTGGTCGGTGCTCCTTCGGATTTTGCGGCCGTCCCGTCGGATGTCACGGCTCGACTTCCTTTTTTATTGGTCGTTCCTTCTTTGTTGGTCGTTCCTGTCCTTCGTTCAATAAAGAAGGACAGGAGTTTCCTTCTTTCTTGGTCGTTCCTTCTTGCAGCAGTCCGATGCAGATTCCGCCGCCCTGCCTCGGGGGGCCCGCTCGGCCTTCGAGTGGCAGCTCCCCCCCCCAGGCGAGCGCGGCCCTCCCCCCCCCCTCGGCGCCCGAGGGCGGGGGGGAGGAGCAGGGGACTGGCATATCTCGCCCGTCCTCACGCTCGGCTTCTCAGCCGAGAGGGGAATGTCAGGTTATGGCGTTCCGACTGGGGGAGAAGCACCGTGGAGTTCGCGTGCTTTTCAGGAGGCATCTTCCCCTCTAATGGGGGATGGCGGTTGTCGTGCATTGCAGCCGTTTGACTCGAGTATTGTCGGCTTCCGTGGGCAAAACAGATTGTTTGCCTCCGTGGAAAGTATGGTTTGCCTCCGTGGAATAAAAAGGTTCCTATCATAGCTTCAGGATCAGTGTAGTTCAAAAGCCATCAACGATATTGGAACAAGCTCTTTCTTCAAGTTCCCCATTCATTGGCCCCTACAAGGATTCATTTTCACTGAGGGGAGTGCCCTGTTGGAAAGCAGCCGTTCGAGAATCTGGACACGCGCGGGAACACCGTTCCTGGGAATTCAACGCCGCGAGTCACCGTCGCTGCTACGCTTGGACGTTCCTCAATCGTGCCATAACAGAAATCCCGGGATTTCAACTCGCGAAGCAATGTGCCTGTTGCGCCCTGACGGTCCGACATTGCGACGAAACGTCATCGATGGGACGTGAGCAATGGGAATCCCCGAAGCGGTCGCAAACTCTCAAAACGAGTGTGCGCAGTGCTGAGACGAGCGCCACCTTTGGCCAAAACGCCGCCGTCCATCCGTGAAGAGCCCACACACTTTGAGAACGAGTGTGCGCGGTGCTGAGGCGAGAGCCACGTCTTGAAAGCGGGCCGCCCTCTGTTGACGAAAATGTTGACAAACAATTGACGAGAAGTTGACGCGAGCCGTGAAGGTTTTTGGACATGTTGACGAAAAGTTGGGCGGCGTGATGGCGAGGGCCTCATTCTGGAAGCTGGCCGCCCTCCGTCGGTGAAGCTCTGGCCAGTTTGGAAAACGAGTGCTCGCGGCGCCAAGGCGAGAGCTGCATTTTGACAACGGGGCGCCTTCCCTCCGCGACAATCTTGCAGATTGTCGAGACGAGTGCGGCGGTGCTGAGACGAGAGCAGCACCTTGAATGCGGGCAGCCCTCAATCCGTGAACCTGGTGCTAAGTTCAAGCACCACAAATGTGAGGAGGTCTCAGGCGAAACGCCCGGCCCGCCCGTTCGTTCGGCCTCGGGGTGTGACACGTAGGAGTCATTTCTATGGAAGAGGGAGGGAAGAAGAGGAAAGCGCGGAGGAGGAGGAGGAGGAGGAGGAGGAGGAGGAGGAGGAGGAGGAGGAGGAGGAGGACCGGGGATACCGCTGGCCCTCCGTGTGGCAGCCCCCCGCCCCGGCAGAGCGCGCGGCCCTCCGCCCCGCGGCGCACTCGAGGACGGCGCGCTCCCAGTGCCCACGGGGCCCCCCGGCGTGCGGGGCCCGCTGGCGCCAGTCGCGGAGGAGGACGAGGAGCGGCGCCGCCGCTCGGTCTCGGGGACGCGTGCAGTCGGCCCCGACTGGTCACCGTGGGGGAAGTGGGTCCTGCTGGGTCTGTTTTCCACCACGGCCACCAGGAGTTGGAGGGGGGAGGAGGAGGGGAGGAGGAGGGAGGGGAGGAGGAGGAGGAGGAGGAGGAGGAGGAGAGGAGGAGGAGGGAGGAGAGGAGGAGGAGGAGGAGAGGAGGAGGAGGAGGAGGAGGAGGAGAGGAGGAGGAGGAGGAGGGAGGAGGAGGAGAGGAGGGAGGGAGGGAGGAGGGAGGAGGAGGGAGGGAGGAGGAGGAGGAGGAGGAGGAGGAGGAGGAGGAGGCCCCCCTGACCCTCCTACTTCTCGTGGTGGTGGTGGTGGTGGTGGTGGGAAACAAGCCCTCCAGGGTCCTGGGGGAAGTGGGTCCTGGGGGAAATGGGACACGAGGGGGCCCGTGATACGCCCCCGTGATCGGCCCCTTGGGAGGCCCGCGCTGGCATGCCTGCCGACTCGCGGCGATCATGAGGCTCTGCAGAACGACACGCGAGACTTGTGCTGTACATACAACCCGCACGGTAAGGACCAGCGGCCATCCAAGGTTACCCGTGCATCCTTCCCCGCTGGCCCATCCTTGGCCAGTTTCGCTGGCCGCGCCCTGCTCGAAAATGGTCGGCATGGCCCTCCGAGGCCCTTGCATCCTTACCGCGCACCCTTACTGCACGGGTTGCCTGCATTAAGAAAGCCCTACGGCCTGTGCGGCCGACCCTGAACGGGGGACGACGACGACGACGGCGGCGTCGACGGCAACAACGACGCTCACATGGGGCAGAGTCCTCAGAGATGCCTCGTTGGGCCTCAGAGCGCGCTTGGATACCTCTGGGGGGCAGTTTCGGGGCCTCTCGTGAGCTTCTTCGGGGCCTCTCGGGGGCCCCTTGGGAACCCCTTTTGCTTCCTGAGGGCCGCTTGGGGGCCTCTGGGGGCGTCGTGGGGGGGCTTCTTGGGTTGGGGCCTCCTGGGAGCTTCTCGGGGCCGGGGGCTCGAAGTGTTCGTTCGGGCTCCCGTGTGGGCACTCTCTTGGAGCCGTCTTGGGGGCCTCTTGGGCCGTTGGGGAGAACTCTAATTAGGGCCGTCTTGGGTCGTTTTGGGGGCGTCTTCGAAGTCTCTTGGGAGCCTCATGTGGCGATTTTGGTGGCATATTTGGGCCGTCTTGGGGCGCCAGGGCGCCGAACTTGCGAGAACGAAAGGGAGACTTAGGCCATGGGACAAAAGATCACCATGGTATCCAGCACCTTAGGGCGGACAGTCTTCACATTCGGAGCCACCGCAGTTCTTTTAGCTTTGAGAGGACCGAGGACCTGCAGGGCAGGGTTCTCACCCGGGTGCCTAGGCATGCAAGGTTCTCTACATGGCCCGCGCATGACTTGCCGTGCTGTTGCCATGCATGCGGGTCAGTCCATTCACGTGGTTGCAGGTGGAAGATGCTGAGCAGCAGGATGATGAGGATGTTGCTTCGCGTATTCCTTCCAGCTCGCCTCCTCACGAGGAGGCTTAGTCGGCAACGCCCTGTTCGACTCGAACTGGGCGCCGTGATTTTCCGGCCTCTCTCACCGGCTCTGGTCAGGCTTGGCACGGTCAGGGAGCGTTCTTAGTCAGCCGCGGGCAGAAAGGTCGCAGTTTGTTATTTAAATGTTTGAGTTTTGCCAAGAAGTTTGGCCGCTCAGAAACAGAAGGAAACCATGGGATACACCCCTAAGGGTGCTATTCGGACGCATCACTATCGAGGATGGACGCCCCCCAACCGTATGTCCCAGGGTTGGGCCTCCAATTTCTCGTCCATTCGAAGACCCTACTAAGCCTGGGACAGGGGTCGACGTCTCCCTTGTTGAAAGGTCCAGGCTGAGGAGGTCGGCATTCCATGAGGTACAGCTGGCACGAGGGTTCAGATCAGTGGCGAGCCCGGGGGGAACTGAGAAGGGGCGGGCCTTCTCAGAAGGCTCGGAAGTCTCCCAGCCTTCTGCGAAGTTTTCTCAAAGCATTCCCCGAAGCCGCAGACAACTTCTCAGAAGGCACCAGGGCTTCTGATAAGTTCCGCCGGTGCTGAGAAGGCCTTCTCCTTCTCGATTCCCCCTCGCTCGCCGCCGATAGATCCAGGCTACAGTGGAGACCAATGTCAAGAAACACCTGACTTGCCTCCATGGGGCCCTGGGTTTCTTGGGTTTCGATGGTTTTGCTGTGGAAAGTGTGACGTCCCCACACCTAACACTACTGGAAGTCCTAGGGTCTCAGGGTTAAGTTTTCTTGTGGTCGAGCTCCTACTGTAGTCTTCGATGGGTTGTATTCGTGCGCCTCGTGGTCTGGCTCGTTCTTCGTTCGCGGTATCTCCGCGCCCTTGTAGCCGTGCCTCGACTTGCCCTCATACGCTATGGTCAAGTCGGGCACGTCCCTCTACAGGAGGACTCACGAGTAACCAGTCAAAACATATAGTTGGTGACGAGCTTTCTTGCTCTTCTGACAATGTCTGATCATTTTTTGGACTACGCTTTATTCTTCTTCCGAAATCCGTCTGTAGGAGGACATGACCGTGGCATGGATGCGAAGAGTGACGCTCCTCCCCCTCCCCCCGCGCCCTCAGAAGGCAGCCCCCCCTTCAAAGCCCCATGCACCCGACGCATCGTGAGACGTCCACGATGGCGCGAATTACTGGACGGGGCTGGGACCGGGATGATTGGGCGCAAACTGCAGTCGCCCCGCACAGTATGCATGGGCAACCCTCCCAGCGGCCCATGCTTAGCGGCTTTCGCTGGCCAGACTCGTCCGAAAAACCTCAGCGTTGTGGTGTACACAGGCGCAGGGGGGCAGATCGCCACCTACATGCTGCTCGCGTCGTCGTCGTCGTCGTCGTCGTCGTCGTCGTCGTCGTCGTCGCTTGTCGCTCGTCGCGTCGTGCGCGCGGGCGCGGCTGAGGTGCCGGAGCCACACGGCGGGGGAGGGGGGGTGTTACGTCATAACCCCCCCCCCCCATACGTCATAACCCCCCCGCCCCCCCCCCCCCCATGACGCCCGTCATCGCCGAGCATAAAGAACGCGCTCCAAGGCCCTTGCATCTTTACCGCGCAAGCTCCCGCGCCGCGGGACCTCCGAGATCTCCGCGGCTGTCCCGGCCCGATGTTGTCCGGCTCCTGACTTTCTCTCAGTTCGGGGGCGGCGAAAGCACATTGTGGAAAAACACACAGAGCCTGTGGACAAACAAAAACACAGTCAGTGGAAAAAACACATGGGAAACAAAAACACACACTGTGTTTTTTTTTCCACAGTGTGTTTTTTTCCACAGGGGGGTGAGGACTAGGGGGGGGTGGATCTCATGGCGGGGGCCACGATATCTCCCTAGATTTCCTGGCGCCTCTTCTCATTTCAATACGTCCACGGCCCCCCCTTGGCTAAATCGACGAAGAAACAACGCCATAAACATTTTTTTTCGCTCCGCGCGGATCTCTTGGATCCGCGCCGGGCCCCTCCGGCGGCGGCTCCGGCGCCGCCCCTGGTACGCTCCGCGCGCCAGGAAGGGAGGTCCGGCGCAGATCCAAGACATCCGCGCGGAGCGCCAGCAGTTTCTGTTCAAGCCGTCTTTTCTTGTTCTACTTTAAGCAGGCTCGGCGAGAGCTCGCAGCCGTATCCCTACACGCTTTACCAGTTTGAATCATATCCCTATCCCTGTGTTTGGCATCTCCTCACCTAAATGCCGATCTTAAGGATCCCCTCAGTTTCTGAGGGCGCATCCCTAAGAACGTCCTCGCTTTTTGCTAATCTGTAGGGATCGGGACAAGTTCGAGGCTGGTTAACGCCGTCTGTCTTCGGGCCGGAGAGGTAGGTCTGCTGTGATGGCCCCGAGGATCCTGGAGTGGGGCACGAGGTCGCTCGCGACCGTGCCGTTTCTCGCGGCGTGCGGGCGACTGGGGTTGGAGAGCCCGCTGCGTCGTGCTCCTCCTCCTCCTCGCTCCTCCTCCTCCTCCTCCTCCTCCTCCTCCTCCTCCTCCTGACATTTCTGACATTTCTCGCTATGCAGCGTCTTGTCGCGCGCCCCGCGGGCGCGGAGCGCGCCGCAGCGGCCCTTCAGGGCCGTGCGGGCACTCGAACAGCGGCCCCGGGAACCCGACCCCAGGAGAGCAGGGGGAACCAGGGACCAAGTTAAACCTCAGAGGAGAGAGAAGGGGGCCGGGTTTCAGCAAAAAAGGGGGCCCGTCAGGGCCCATGGGCGGGCGCCGCGCGCGCCCGCGCCCGCGGGCGTCAGGCAGCGCGGCACGGCGCACGGCCAGGCCGACGGCCTCTTCGTGGACTGGCGGCCGCGTGGTGGCGGCTGGGCTCCCTTCGGCGCCTCGCGCTGAGCCCAGCCGCCGTGGGGTCTTCGGGTGGCTGGCTGCCCCCAGCTGCGGCGGCCTCCACCCTTCGGCGCCGCGCGCTGTGGAGGCTCGCCGAGCCGCTCGTGGGCTCCAGCAAGCCTGCAGCGGCTGCTCTCGTCATCATGCCGATCAGGGCCGGCTGGCCTCGGCCCCTCGCATGCCACGCGAGGGCGACGGGGATACACCCTTCGGCGCCTGGCGCTGTGTATCCCTCGCCGATGGGCGCGCTGCCCCTTCTCTTCGAGTAGTCCATGATGTGCTCGAGCCTGCAGTGCTGCTTGACACTGTGGTGCTCGAACTTGTATCCCTCGTCCCAGTCGTGCTGGGCGGGGTGGTACTCCTGCGTAATCCTGTCCAGTCATGCTGGTCGTCCTGGTACTCGACTAGTCGTAGTATCCGATGTCCTCATTCATGCCGCCCCCGCCTCTGCAGTACAGGAGGGCGCTGATCTTGGGGGTTGTGGGTGGCGGTCGTTTGTAGGGCTGAGTGTAGGATGTGGAGCGTGCTGGTCGGGTCGTTGGGGAGTCGGATCGTTGCTGGTGTTGTGTTGGTCGTGGGCTTCCAAGGCCTCCATGCACCGACTTCAAGTGGGGGTCTTGGCTGTCCCACCTCGTCCCGCTATGGCTAGGGGTCACAGTGCCCTCGGTGGGGGCGAACCCCAGGCCTGGTACTTATTATCGTCGGAGTGGAATGTCTCGGCTGTCCTGTGCTTCGCCCTCGGGCGCTCGGGTAGCTCCTCCTTCTCCATGGGAATGGTGGGGGTGGCGAGCTAGGGCGGACCGCGGGGGCGCAGGTAGTGGCCGTCCTACCCCCCCCCTGCCCCTCACCATCCCCCCTGGTGGGCGCGGGAAGTACTCGTCCTTCCCCCCCGCCCTTCGAGCCCGTCTCGAAGTTTGATCCATGCCTCACCAGGGCAGCGTTGACTTGACAAGAGGTGTGCGGGGCCGTGCTGGGTATGCTGTCGATGTCGGTCAGTAGTACGACGGCGACGTGTGGACCGCCCGCTGCCAGCCAGCTGGTGTCCTCCGAGTTGTAGGTAGCCAGTCGCCGCCAGGGTACTCACAGCAAAACGTAGCGACTTGTGCCTGGGGTGTTCCCTCGCGTTCGGGGCTTCCCCAGGACTTGCGTCCTAACCAAAGCAAAACTTGGCGACGCTGCCTGAGGTCTTCCCACGCATTCGGGGCTTCCTCAGGACTTAACCCATGACGCCGTAGTGCTTGTCTCCGAGGAAGCTCTTTGCCGCGAATATACTGCCGTATCCATGCTGCTCTTGCCCAGGGCGCTGGATAATCATAGAAGTGAATGCCAGGGTTGAAAGAAAGCCAATAAATCCAGAAAAGTACTCGAGGGGGGGGCACGCTCCGTCGCCATTGAGGGATCGTGCCCACCCGTATGGGCGCTACGGGTCCCCCCCCTCGAGTATGGCACGCAATCGCTGTCCAGGACGAAGCCGTGCCAATAACCCAATAGCATCGCGGGTCTTGAGTACATACAGTAGGTGCACTGATACTATCGCGTCTGCTGCCACTCTGAAATATTATCCAACTGTACGCCATTCTGTAATGTAAACTGCCCTCCAATCTGTAAGATGCCAATAGTCTGTGCACCAATCTGCAATCTGATGGTCCCTCCCATGGACTGGCAAATATGAATAATCCTGAAGCAACTAATCCCGAATATCTGTGCAGGCAATCGTAGTGCCGCAACTGCAGTGTCAGCTGCTAGCGCCGTTGGATACCCCATGTCCTGTGACAGTCGTGGCCCAGCTGCTCTGGCTCGATGTAGTAGTCCAGGGGGGCGTAGAACCTGTGATAGCATTCATCCGTTTCGGCCCACATTGCCTCTTCGTCAGCGAGCTGTCCCCAGTGGGCTGCGAATGCAGTTGCCATTGCCTTGCACAACATTAAAGGATATTCTTTGAGGGGGGCGGTCCTCCAGCCGCCTTGGCCGTCTCGTCCGTAAGCTCTGTCATGTCCGTTATGTCGACATAGCTGTCCCTCAGGTACCGCCCCCAGCTCCTGTGTGAGTTCACTGAGGTGTACCGCCATCAGGCATGTTGGCTTTCGCGCGGCCTGCCCAAACTGGCACTGGTCTATGTAGTGCAGTTCGACGCTCGTCTGCTCCAAAAGCCAGAGCGTCTCCGCTCGCTGCCAGCTGCTCGGCGCTTGAGGACACCAAGTGGCTGGAGCGGGATGCTCGAGTACGGCGGATACATTGTACTGCAAGCCAGTGGTGATGAGTAGTAGAGCTGTCCTGTATAGCTCGTTGGCTAGTGCTATCTGTTGACGCTCCGCTTGATTGGCTGCTTGTATGCCCCAGGGGAAGTCGTGTGTACGTAGTGGCCGTGGAGCTTTTCCCTCGGCGGCATGCCAGCGCGATGAGCACCACGTCTCGCAGGGGGGGCCAGCAACAATGCCAAATATTTTGCCCTGTCGTCTCGCCGCGCACCAAAACTCGACGACGTCTGGCTTCGTCAGGTCTCCTTCCTCCTCCTCCTCCTCCTCCTCCTCCTCCTCCTCCTCCTCCTCCTCCTCCTCCTTCCCCCCTCCCCCTCCTCGTCCTCCTCCTCCTCCTCCTCCTCCTCCCCCTCCCCCTCCTCGTCCTCCTCCTCGTCGTCGTCCTCCTCCTCTTCGCCGACGGCTGGTAATGACCAGGGATGCGATGTCCCTGGTCGGGGATCGCTGGCCAGCGGACAGCGATGGGGCTGCTCAGACGAGCCACGCCGAAGCGGTCTCAATCCGTGCAGGTCGTCAGGATGACGATGACGACGATGGTGGTGATAGTGGTGGTGATGGTGGTGATGCCTATGATTGCGATGATTGTGATGGCGATGACTTCAACGACTACGACTACGATTTCTGGCAGGCCGCTCTGTGGGGCCAGTTTGGAATTCGTCGCGGGAACGGAACTCTCCGGGAAGGCTTGGGGAGACGGTTTTCTGAGGATGTCCCACGCGCGGGCGCCGGCTTGGAATTCGTCGCCGGATTTTCCGGATGTCCTGGAAACGGATCACGGGGGCCCTCCTTCGGGAGGC